TCAGATTTCTCCTTTCTTTATCAGAGGAGTCCACTGTTGCTCGTTTCGGTCTCACCGCGTTGCAAATGTTGGGAATTTATTTTTATTTTTTTTGTAGGTGAATCATTTTGTTCAGGTTTTAGATTCTATTTCAAACCTTGATCGCTGTAAAACCAGGAGGCATTTAAACTAAGAGTCACAGCTACGTCAGTTTTTTGTCAAAGTGATAAATTTAGATCATAAATACACAGCGCTGGCTAACACTGACTGAAATGTGACACCACATTTCATATTCGTACGCCTCTATTTAATTATCTAAGAATGGTTCAAATGCCTCCCAGATATCTGTGGACGTGGCACACATGACCTGAAAAATAAAACTGCATATTGTTATTATTATTATACCATCCATCCACTATCTATACACCACTTAATCCTCACCAGGGTCATGGGGGGCTGGAGTCTATCCCAGCTGACTCAGGGTGAAGGCAGGTTCACCTGGACAGGTAACCAGTCTATCACAGGGCTACACTTAGAGACAGACAACCAAGCACACTCACATTCACACCTACGGACAATTTACAATCACCAATTAACCTCAACATGTTTCTGGACTGTGGGAGGAAGCCGGAGAACCCGGAGAGACCCCACGCTGCACGGGGAGAACATAATATTATTATTATTATTGCCTTCATTATATCGTGACACTCGGCTATTAGCTCACACTAAATGACAAACAAATATTTCAGACATCTACAATCATAAATAAAGCACACCTCAGCTACATTAATTAATTCCAGGATGTTCTTGTGGTTTTTCTTAGCCAACTGCTGTAATCTTTTGGAAACACCAAGACAGTGGCCGCCTTTCTAAAATCCATTTCTCATGCAGGTAGCGCCCCCTGCTGGTGTTGAGAAAGCTTTAGTGGTTTTCTGACAGAACTACACAAGCTTTCATACATTTTACATGTAGTTCTTGGCCTTCGCTTTCTTTCTGTTCCTGGTGAGCAGTCGTACATCAAACATGCTAAACAGTAAATAAGCCAAACAGAGCAGTGGTGCATGTCTACGACCTCAACAAGAGGAAGAGTGACTGCTGTCTGCTGAGGGGAAGGGAAATCACCACGGACTGTCAGGATGAACCTTCGCCCAGTGGTTTCCTGAAGCGACGGCGGCCATCTTGGCAGCGCCTGAGTCCTCTTAACTAAATCCAAAAGTGAGCAAAGAGGTGGAGCTGGAGTGGAGCTGAGGTGGTCCATGCAAACTGTCCTGATGATGATGACTCTCACTGACACGTAGAACAGCCAGACCCTTAATCACCCACTACACCTAAAGCAGGTGGGTTGTATGAAATGGTTAAATTATCAGGGTTTTTTTGTAACAGGCTCTGAACGTGTTTATTTCTGCAGCAGAGTTGGATGTTTTACCAGAAAAGTTTTGGGGCCTGCAAGTGGACATTCAAGGAACTGCAGCTTTTGTCACTTCTGTGTTGTTTAGAAATTAATCAGCTCCTCTGATGAGGTGCAGGCAGTCGTTTTCAATCATTAAATAATAAGAAGCAATGCTAAACAATCTGCTTCATAAGAAAAAGGTGAATAAATAATATTCTGAACATACGACAGCAAGAAGACGACTAAAATGTCACCAGTTGAAGAAAAGGGCCGAAGAAAAAGTACAGATCAGACCTCCTCTCCTCAGGCTCTCTAGATATCAGTGATTTGAAATCTAACTCGTCAGCTTGTTCTAAAACCTGAACAGGAGGNCGGTTAGAGGGATTCAAGATTTACCCTTCACGTGCGCTCTTGGTGGGTTTCTTGAGCATTTCATTAATATTTAGGATAATTCCTTCAGGATATGTTTCTTGAGAAAGTTTCAAGACACTCCACACCTGGTCCATGTGTTCTCCAGGCTGCATTAAGGCTCTTCAGGGCTTTTCTCTTCTGAGATTTGTTAGTTTTGATCAGTTACAGAACTGCTCATGTGGGACCAGAGATAATGCAGATTTTCTATTGTGTCATTTGCAATTCCAGGCGTTCTGTCGTAAATCCGGCTCACAGCCATCCTGTTAAACAACTACTGCAGTTCTGCTCTTGGCCACGAGATGTCGCCAGAGTTTAGGAAAATGCATTTGCGTTACATTATGTGAGTGCCAATGAACGTATTTAAAATTGGTTAAAATTTCATCAGAAGATGTGGATGTAGTTCAGTTGTTCTCAGACTTTTTCCTTCAGCCCCCCGTCGCCTTAAATAGTGATGAAATGAGCCACTTTAAATCTACTGACATTAAATAAATATCATGAGCAACAACTTAACAACATGCTCAGTGATCAGTGACAGCAACGAGGGGGATAGTGGGAGCCTCATCAGTCATTGTTGACACCATATCAAGAGCAGTAGCAGGAGATCCTCAGCTATTGGATGTGGTTTCTTGCACTGGTGCTGCCAACTTTCTCTGTTGGTGGCATGAGCTAATGATTTCATCGCCCCACTCCCTTATTTTGGATCAGCATTGCCACAACTATTAATCCACCATGCAGCTGATGAATAGTTGTTTTTGCTGGAGATGCATGATATAGCGGCGACCACATCGTTATCGGCCGATATTAGTATTTTTTCCGATATATCTGTATCGATCTGATGAACAAATTTAGCCCATGACTGTCTAACATCAGCGCCTTCGTCTCTACGTCTGATATCGCTGCTATTTCACAGATGTTTTTACTTAAATGGTCCTTTAACGTTAAATATGTTCAAATATGTTAAATGTGTTTTATTCTTGTTACGTAATGAAGACTATGTGGTCTAATTTGGGCTTCTTTTGAATAGTTTCTCACAGTGCTTGCTGATACAAATTTTTCAGTGTGAACAAAAACTTAATATCGACATCAGTGATATCGGTTATCAGTGATATCAGAAATTTTAATATTGGGTGTCGGTATCGGCCAGAAATGTTAATATCGTGCATCACTAGTTTTTGCACAACTTAGTTATGTTGCAGTGATTTTCTGTGATACAAGACTTGACACTTGTAAAATGTTTTAACCTGAAAATATATTTATTTTGTCACCAATCCTCTTCTGATATGTGCCATTCACTGGACACAGGCTAAGCAATTGCTGAAAATGCCCATGGGTCGATGGTGCATTTTACCGATGTTCCCTGAACGCCTCACGTGCTGCTCCGGTAGACGCTACGTTTTACCGGATGTCCAGNAAAAAGTACAGATCAGACCTCCTCTCCTCAGGCTCTCTAGATATCAGTGATTTGAAATCTAACTCGTCAGCTTGTTCTAAAACCTGAACAGGAGGGCTGTAGCTTTGGTGGCTCAGATTCATTGAACCTGAAGCTTGCGTCCAACCATCACCGTTCAGACGTTTGGCGCCGGGACTCGGGTCCCCCCATCCAGCATCCTGCCAGTATTTTTATGTTCTCGGGTTCACAGTGATGCTGGCCTGTAGTGACAAAACAAACACACATCCATGGATCAGTCCACAACGTAAACACTGTCTACACACACAGGTGCTGCTGGTACGAGCGTGCATGAATGTGAAACACTCTGAACTTCCTACAGCTGCTATAAAACACTATGATTAATGCAAAAATATATTGTTGCTTAAGTGTTTTTATGTGTTTCACTTTACAACTGTCGATTTTACAACTAAAACTTTATCTTCGAATAATCCTTTCCTGCTTTAAAATGGCTTATATGGAACTCTACACTGTTCCTCTAGAGTGTGCAGATCTATAAAGCCCTGACTTCTCTAAGCTCCAGCACACCAGCTCACCCATGACTCTGATTAAACACTGTAAAATGTTTGCATGTGCAAGAGCCAACTGGAAGAAGACTATTTGGTCTGATGAGACCAAAATTGAACTGGGGAGTTCATTCATTTGAAACAGTACACATCACAAACCTCCTCACTGTGAGGCACGGTGTGGCAGCATCATGATGAGGAGGGACTTGTTGGCAGCATGCCCGGGAAGGAAAAGGCTGTAAATTTAGAGAGGGAAATTAATGTGCCCAAGTAAATCCTGGCGGACAAACCGGTGCCGTCTGCAAGAGAACCGCAACTTGTTCTCCAGCTAGACGGTTAGCCCACGACCAAAGCTACACAGAAACAGGTAAAAGACAACAAGGTGAATGTTCTNTGAAAATGCCCATGGGTCGATGGTGCATTTTACCGATGTTCCCTGAACGCCTCACGTGCTGCTCCGGTAGACGCTACGTTTTACCGGATGTCCAGGCAGCTCTGTGCGATGGGTACAAAGTCAGAGCCGAATGCCCGCAAAGCAAACAGCTATTTTGTTATGATGTGTGGTTCTTGGAGAGGTTTCAAGAGTCCCATGTGTTCCCCGGGTTACTGGTCTTAGAGGCGTCCCAGTGCTCCTGAGTCCAGATCACATACTGAGAGGTGTTCAGTTGCAGCACGTTGAATAATGCAGCTCATTATTTTCAGGAGGGGTCTGTGAAGACTCTCAGTCATCCAGGTGGTGGTTGTTCTAGTGGATTAATCGTAGCAACTGGACTTGCTTGAGATCCACCTACTGACTAGTTGGGAGTTCCACATACTGATACCCTGAAGGATCCATTAACACCTGAGTTTCGGGTTCAAGTGGGGGTTTGTTGCTCCTCCCCCTCGTTATGTGAGTCGTGAGTGCCACATAACGACTCACATAACGGGGTGAGTCCACAATAGGGTTCGTTAGGGTCTCCTGTGGCGAGATGTGGATGTGGTTTCAACCTCCTGGGGAGAGTTCTTAAGACTGAGCATCAGGACAAACGATGCAGTTCCGGCGGCGGCCACCAGATGTCGCCAACGCGCAGCTCCAGGATGCTCGGTTTAAAAAGGAGGCTTTTCAGAAAATCATCTACCATGTTTGGCTCAGGGTGGGCGGGGTTTGAGCGGAGCGGTGCATTCTGGGAGGACGTGTTCTTTTCACCAGCTTGGCTCGATCAAAAGACTCGCACGAGCGCTGTGAAATGACTACAAGTCCCGTGGTGGGCGCGGAGCGAGTCGGTTCAGCGCCTGACTGTACAATACAGGGATAGAGGTGACCCCTCCGTCTAGTCCGACTCTGAGCAGGGAGAGCAGCCGCGGCACAACCGACGCATCTTCAACTAAAAATGGTAAGATATCATCTACCTGCAGCTACCTGAGAGCGGAAACACAAGCATAGACGTGCTTTATCAGAGCATTGGTCTCCTCAGAGTAAATTTAACAGTTTGCTCAGTGATGTGCTGATAGTTGACATTGACAAGAGGGCGTCTTGATTTGAATGATATTAGTGTTTTTGTTGTTTTAATGGCGGTTGTCTGGATGCATAATACAAGTCCAAGGACGGAGCTGCGGCTCGTTGCGCACTTACAGCCCCGGAGGTAGCGGACGGAGGAAACCTGCAGATTAGCGTTTGGCGCAGAAAGAGAGACAGAGAGAGACAGACAGTGCACACTAGATGTTTATAACACTTCGCTGTACATTCATTCATCTGCCTCCATTTTAATATCGGGTGGCGTGGCATCCGCGTGACGTCACATCAGCGGCCTTACGAGGAGCCAATCAGGGCCGCAGCTTCCGCGGGTTGAATCCCGGCTCTCTACCGGCAGTTAGACGTGTTTTTTTGTTCTTGTCAGACACGTTGCAACCACATTTAATATGATGCAAGCAGACCTGAGAATATACCGGAAGCATCTTCTTTTCCCCTCCAGCTGGTCAGCATCACGCACAGAGCCTCAAATACACTCCTATCCCTGTCAGTGTTCTACCTGCAGAACTACAGAAGGACACCATGAAACCAGAAAGACTAAAATCATACTGAGCATCATACCAGCTCATGCTAGTCTGCAAATTAAATGTTCTGCACTTCTACAGCTTGTTTCTCATTCACCCATTCACACCAATGGCTGCCATGCAAGGTGCTGCCTGCCATCGGGTTCAGTGTCTTGCCCAAGGACACTTGGACTGTGTCAGGGGGTCCATCGAACCCCCAACCTTGCAATCAGAGGACAACCTGCTCTACCATCTGAGCCTAGCCTTCATGCTAGTCTGCAAGGTCATCCTGCTCTGCATGAATGTCTCTGTGGAGGTTGTTGGTATGTCCTCGTCATGCAAAGGGCAGATTTCGGGGGCAGCTGTGGCTCAGGTGGTAGAGCGGGTCGGTCAGTGATCGGACGGTCGCCGGTTCAATGGTGGTTCATGGTGTCCTTGGGCAAGACACTTCACCACCTTGGTGTGAATGAATGGATTGTCTGTTGTTTGGTGGTCGGAGGGGCAGAATAGCAGCCACGCCTCTGTCAGTCTGCCCCAGGGCAGCTGTGGCTACAACCGTAGCTACCACCACCAGATGGATGTGTGTGAATAAATAACAGTGTAAAGGGACTTTGAGTGTCTAGAAAAGCGCTGTGTAAATGTGATCTATTATTATTATTATTTCCTCAGGAGGAGGAAGAGACTAAATTCACTGTGAGGATCACATCTGCTCAATTTACATTTTCTAACTTGGAAAAATGAAGAACAGTCAGAGCAACAACGCTAGCTGCTGCCGCTTCATCTCCTCCCCCTGTTGTTTATCTGGGTCACGTATGAACCTCTCTCCCTTTCTGTCCTTTCAGGCCGAACCGATCCGTGTCGTGGTGACTGGTGCTGCTGGCCAGATTGCCTACTCCCTGCTGTACAGCATCGCTAAGGGAGATGTGTTCGGGAAGGACCAGGTAAGACCCGGCCTGAGCTCTGATTGCATAACCCGCAGCAGCTGCAGAACCCTCTTCCCCCTGAAGCAGACGGACAGCTGGGCGGTGTGCCGTGTGGGGCTTGACTGTTGCATAATGGCATCACCATGAATAATGAACACGCTATCGTGGTGGGATGCCTTCAGCTTACTGGAGTCCTTTATCAGTAATGCAGTGGAGGAAAGAAGGAAAACAAAGGGGTCATTGTAGCTGCTACAGAAGGAAAAAAACATGACAGGATTTTAAAAGCAAACCCCTGATGGTTGGCCTATAATACGTATTACACTCTGCTTGAGATTCAAAACTTTGGTTCTGATATTTATACTGAACAATAAAC